TGCAATAGCAAGGGAAGCTGGGAATTATAACTGAACAATAGCTAGGGTCCCAGGTTCTCTGCCCTGATTAGAAGGGTTGATGAGCAGCACCATCTCCAGGAGTGAGAGACATGGGGAATATCAGGTGGAGAGGGGCCTAGTGAGAGATGCTGAGAGTGTGATAAATCAGAGAGTGTTCTGTGATCCATCCTATTGGTTTAGCATATTGGAAGACAGCACACCACCCACTCAAGGGTGCTGGGGGTGGACATTGGGAGAGGTCTTGTTTAGGGGGCTGGAGAGTAGGAACATTGTAAGCAAAAGGAAGTGTGATGAAGCAGATCAATACAAGGGAAGAGGTGTAGGGGAAGAGTCATACTATGTGAGATGGGTGGTCATATAAAAATCAACCAATCAATGGGAAATTGGGTTCCAATCTCCTCTTTTGGCTTCCCACCCTCAACCTGGTGTTTGGGTGCTGGATTGTTGGAAGTGATGGATTGTTGGAAGTCTTGCATTCAGGTCGTTTCTGTTAAATGACAGGTTGTCTGTAATAGGACCCTGCTCCTCCATGACTGCTGGAGAGAAGAGAGCAGGCCTGGCATGCAACACCAAGACCTGGGTGGGTGAGGATGAAAGGAAAGACCTGCTCAGCCAAATTTTGGGTGGTACAACAGCCTTGACAAGGCTGAGTGCAAGAGGTAGTGGACACATCTGTGTGAACTGTATGTGTTGATGCCTTGAAGAAGATATTGATGTACACTCCCACCTCCCAGGCCATCACTCAAGTCATCTTAGTAATTTACATTCAGTCTCCAACCTTCCCTTTCTGGGGTTCCAGATGAAGTGGATTATCTAGATCTCTTCCAGTTGGTGCTCATGCCTGGGTATGGGATGGAAACTTTATTAGTTGCTGTTGTGGATGACCTGCAGTGGGACCTGGATGAAGGGTGGTACAGCCCTCATGATACTGCTAGATTTATCAATCACAAGTTGGAAGTGAATGGCTTCTAAATGGATAGTGTAACTCCCCATAAGTGAGCAACATCATGGCTTTCTAAATGATCGCCACCAAAATTTAAAGGAACAGAGCACCACTGCTAATTTTTAGTGGCAAAGGAAGAGGGACTATATAAGTCACACTGAAGTCTCAGGGGAAGGCAAAAAGTAGCCAATCCCACCTAGGAATAAGTCACATTGAACCCACTGATATTTTTTCTTGAAGTGACAGTCTAAAGAAAGTGACTATGCTAATAAGACTATGCTATTAACAAGCTATGAAAGCATATATAATGATCATTTTGATTAAGGAATATTTTAGAAGTTGGCTCTGGTTACAGGTATGTGCACACTTTGTGATGTGAATTTCCTGGTAAACATCTCCAAATCAAAACCATGACCTTTTTATCACACTAAGAGTAGCATAAGGATTCAGACAAGAATGGATTTGAAAACCACGTAAATGACACAAATAGTTATGTAGAAGGGACTATACAGTACTTCATCTCCAACGCAGTGCCATTGATTTTACCAAAGATCAGAAACAGAACCCATGGATCATTAACTTGATTTTTTAAAATAGGTTATGACAATAGTTACTTTGACTTCAGGCATTGTATGACACTACCATATATACTAAGGTACTGTTTGCTCTTTTAACTACAGCCAAACACCACACAGATGGTTTGAGTAAACCAGCCTTTCCTAGCCGGCAGCCCAATAGTTATGCTGTGTTACAAGTTTCATCATTCCAGCTACAGAACTATGGAAAAGGCAAAGGGTATCAGGTTAGGAACAGTATATACTGAACGACCGTAAATAGCAGGAAAATAAATGGGCAACTCCCAACACACACACACACACACACTGCAAAAACAAAGGGGGCAAAGACTGAGTCAGTTAAAAAACAAAAATGTATTGTAAATTCAACATATTTTATATAGGAGCCTATTGTATATGGCCATAAAAAGGGGAATACTTTGCCAAACAACAACAAACAATACTGAAGACGAGAAACTATGGCTTGTCAGGTACCCCTGATCCACAGTTCTCACCAGTTCCTGTCGGCCCCATCATGGCCAGAAGTGACAGATGCTGGGAACTGTGATTCAGTGATGCCTGGAAGGTTAGATTCCCAATCCTAGAGGTACAGGCTTCCATAAGAGCCAATTTAGAAATAATTGCTATCTTTTTAAAGGAATAAAGAATATCTCAATATAGTGAAGAAAACTATTTAACTGGTGTGCTAACTATTGATGGGCAACTTCAAGGCCCATTTTCTACCTCAAGAGCAGATAACCTATTACTTTCCAAATATTTTACAATTTCACTTGCCATTGGCTTAAAATATTTTATCCTTAAACTGAATTTGAACCAGATATTCCTGAACTAGAGGATGTTCAGATAGACTTTAGTCCCCAGTAAAACAGGACACACACCACCAGACAATTTCCCTGCATTATATAATAGCTGAAACTAATTTACAATGAGCATATTCCAGAAAAACTGGGAAAATCCTATCAAACGTGGTGATTGGTGAACACAACTGTCTGGCTTCACTATTCCTTTCCTTCTCGGTTAAAACATTGACACTCAGGGTTAATTAAGGTGGTCCTCATCTTCCAGTGAATGAGTCAAAAATATAGATTCAAGTGTAAATCTCACTAAGGCAGATCTGTATCACATGTAACCAAGGGTTGACATTTAGAGTCTGTAAGTTTAATATTCTAGTATTTTTTTGCATTTGTTCCCCTGAGAATATACTCAGGCAATTCAAATCCATCTACTGCTTGTTTTTCCTTATGTCTGGGAGCAGGGGTGGGACTCCATATTTTAGAAGGGAAGATGTATACAAAATGCTGTATGTAGCTGCCCTAATATCCTTTTCACCCATCCCCATCATTATAATGAACCAACCATCCTGTCCATTATGATTTCCATGCTGTCAGCCAGAGATGTCAGCCTTGTGAGGTAGTCCAGACAAGAAGCGCAACCAAGAGTACTAGCTCTACCTTTATTGTAAGGTTCCATTAACAGTTTCTTGCAAGTCTGAAAGTTCCCCCCTCTCTTCGCTTTTACTCTCCCGAAAACTAGGGAGGCTCCCTTCTGAGATGGTTTCACCACCCCTTCTCCTTCAGATTCAAATTTAGTTTATCAGACTGTTGTCTAGACTGTGGTTCTTCCTCCTGTCTTCCAAGGTCATTCCCACATACCATTACAAGAGATTATGGTGGCAGATTTTGAACTCAGATGGAATTTCCCTATCTAGTCTCCCCTGAACAACACTGGGTGAGTAGCTGTTTATGAGAATTGTGTGCATAGGGAAAAGACTGAAGGAAAGGGAAAGGCCAGACCTCAGAAATTCACAGCCTAGAATGCTTTGGACCAGACATGGAGAAGGCAACAAGTATATGTGATGAGGCCACCACACACCATGAGTGGGGAGAGAGGTACACGTCCAGAATTTGAAATACTGTTGTACTGCGTTTCCAAGTAAGATTGACCAGATTGACCTGTTGTGATTGCTCAAACAAACAAGTTTTCTTCTTTTTAAAAAACTTTCTTCTTTGTCTTCATTTGGAGATTTTTAGCAGCAAATGCTACACAAAAAATTGTGATAGTTGCTTGCTATGGTGTTCTAGATGCAGACATCTTTGCTTTGCTCCAGCAAACCTTTTAGTTATCTTGAATGAATAAAAATAAAATCATTAGAAATTCAAACAACCATCTTTCAGAAATCAGCTGCCAGATTTATTAATCTACCTGGAAAAATGTGGAATAAAAACAGAACTTAAAATAAACTCTTTTCTTTGAAAGGTACAGTTTCAAAAGGGTCCATCAATTCAAGATAACAACTTTTTATACCATTTTTCCCCCTGGGAATTATCTCTTTTTGTTCAGTGAATCACTACCATATACAGTATATATAATTCTTTAAAAATATTAAGACATTTGACTCAGTATCAGGCTTTCTTTTTTAAACTACCCCATTCACCTAATAAATATTTTCTCTTGAAAGAACTGTTCCTTGCAATAAAACTATGACCAAAAAGCAATCGCAGAACTTTTCATTTAAGGGGGCCATATATTGGGGCTCTATTTCAGTTAAAAAGTGGCTCTCTAAACCTGGATTAATCCATGCTTTTCAGGGCAAACACCCGCAGTCTGGATTTTATTTTTTTTATTTTTTGCTATTAGGTGACATGTTCTGTAGATCCCCGCCCATTAAAAAAATGCAAATATGATGCAGGAGATTGAAGGTGCATTCAATTATCCTGTGAACTGACAGCAGAAGACTGATAACTCCAGGTCCAATCAGATGCTGCCCTCTGGGCTCTCAATAAGGGTAGGTGAATTAACGTTTTGCAGTAAGAGGGGTACTGGGTAGAGAGAAAAACTTGACCTCCCGAGTCACCTCAACACGCTTTGGTGGTGGCTGAAAGAATGAAAACCCAATTATCATTAAGCAGAATATGTCCAGGTTTCTAGTAAGGACACTTGCTTATCCTTGTCATGACTCTTAGCATGTGTACTTTGTCATCTCTTCTGCTTCACAGCCAGTTTATTAAATGCACCTTGTTAGAAGCAAGCATGCATCTGAGCAGCAACCCTAAATTAGGAGTTAAGGCAAGGGGAAGCCTTATTTTAGACCAGTGTTTCTCAACCTTGGCCTCTTGGAGATGTATGGACTTCAACTCCCAGAATTCCTTAGCCAGCCTTGCTGGCTAGGGAATTCTTGGAGTTGAAGTTCACACACCTTCAAGCTGCCAA